TTTATGTCTGCCATTGTATTGATCTACTGTTTATGTCTGACGTTATATAGATCTACTGTTTATGTCTGACGTTATATTGATCTACTGTTTATGTCTGACGTTATATAGATCTACTGTTTATGTCTGCCGTTATATTGATCTACTGTTTATGTCTGTATTGATCTACTGTTTATGTCTGACGTTGTATTGATCTACTGTTTATGTCTGACGTCATATTGATCTACTGTTTATGTCTGTATTGATCTACTGTTTATGTCTGACGTTGTATTGGTCTACTGTTTATGTCTGTCTGACGTTATATAGATCTACTGTTTATGTCTGTCTGACGTTATATTGATCTACTGTTTATGTCTGTATTGATCTACTGTTTATGTCTGACGTTATATTGATCTACTGTTTATGTCTGACGTTGTATTGATCTACGGTTTATGTCTGTCTGACGTTATATTGATCTACTGTTTATGTCTGACGTTATATAGATCTACTGTTTATGTCTGTCTGACGTTATATTGATCTACTGTTTATGTCTGACGTTGTATTGATCTACTGTTTATGTCTGACGTTATATTGATCTACTGTTTATATCTGACGTTATATTGATCTACTGTTTATGTCTGACGTTATATTGATCTACTGTTTATGTCTGACGTTGTATTGATCTACTGTTTATGTCTGTCTGACGTTATATTGATCTACTGTTTATGTCTGTCTGACGTTATATTGATCTACTGTTTATGTCTGACGTTGTATTGATCTACTGTTTATGTCTGACGTTATATAGATCTACTTTTTATATCTGACGTTATATTGATCTACTGTTTATGTCTGACGTTATATTGATCTACTGTTTATGTCTGACGTTGTATTGATCTACTGTTTATGTCTGTCTGACGTTATATTGATCTACTGTTTATGTCTGACGTTGTATTGATCTACTGTTTATGTCTGACGTTGTATTGATCTACTGTTTATGTCTGACGTTGTATTGATCTACTGTTTATGTCTGACGTTATATTGATCTTTATGTCTGACGTTATATTGATCTACTCTTTATGTCTGACGTTGTATAGATCTACTGTTTATGTCTGACGTTATATAGATCTACTGTTTATATCTGATGTTATATTGATCTACTGTTTATATCTGATGTTATATTGATCTACTGTTTATGTCTGTCTGACGTTATATTGATCTACTGTTTATGTCTGACGTTATATAGATCTACTGTTTATGTCTGACGTTATATTGATCTACTGTTTATATCTGACGTTATATAGATCTACTGTTTATGTCTGACGTTATGTAGATCTACTGTTTATGTCTGACGTTATATTGATCTACTGTTTATATCTGACGTTATATAGATCTACTGTTTATGTCTGACGTTATATTGATCTGCTGTTTATGACTGTCTGACGTTATATAGAACTACTGTTTATGTCTGACGTTATATTGATCTACTGTTTATGTCTGACGTTATATAGATCTACTGTTTATGTCTGACGTTATATAGATCTACTGTTTATGTCTAACGTTATATAGATCTACTGTTTATGTATGACGTTATATTGATCTTTTTTTTATGTCTGTCTGACGTTATATAGATCTACTGTTTATGTCTGACGTTATATTGATCTACTGTTTATGTCTGACGTTATATTGATCTACTGTTTATGTCTGACGAGGTTATATAGAGATCTACTGTTTATGTCTGACGTTATATTGATCTACTGTTTATGTCTGACGTTATATAGATCTACTGTTTATGTCTGACGTTATATTGATCTACTGTTTATGTCTGACGTTATATAGATCTACTGTTTATGTCTGACGTTATATTGATCTACTGTTTATGTCTGACATTATATTGATCTACTGTTTATGTCTGACGTTATATTGATCTACTGTTTATGTCTGACGTTATATTGATCTACTGTTTATGTCTGACGTTATATTGATCTACTGTTTATGTCTGACGTTATATTGATCTACTGTTTATGTCTGACGTTATATAGATCTACTGTTTATGTCTGACGTTATATTGATCTACTGTTTATGACTGTCTGACGTTATATAGATCTACTGTTTATGTCTGACGTTATATTGATCTACTGTTTATGTCTGACGTTATATTGATCTACTGTTTATGTCTGACGTTATATAGATCTACTGTTTATGTCTGACGTTATATTGATCTACTGTTTATGTCTGTATTGATCTACTGTTTATATCTGACGTTATATTGATCTACTGTTTATGTCTGACGTTATATTGATCTACTGTTTATGTCTGACGTTATATTGATCTACTGTTTATGTCTGACGTTATATTGATCTACTGTTTATGTCTGACGTTATATTGATCTACTGTTTATGTCTGACGTTATATTGATCTACTGTTTATGTCTGACGTTATATTGATCTTCTGTTTATGTCTGACGTTATATTGATCTACTGTTTATGTCTGACGTTATATAGATCTACTGTTTATGTCTGACGTTATATAGATCTACTGTTTATGTCTGACGTTATATTGATCTACTGTTTATGTCTGACGTTATATTGATCTACTGTTTATGTCTGACGTTATATTGATCTACTGTTTATGTCTGACGTTATATTGATCTACTGTGTCTGTCTGACGTTATATTGATCTACTGTTTATGTCTGACGTTGTATAGATCTACTGTTTATGTCTGACGTTATATTGATCTACTGTGTCTGTCTGACGTTATATTGATCTGTTTATGTCTGACGTTATATTGATCTACTGTGTCTGTCTGACGTTATATTGATCTACTGTTTATGTCTGACGTTGTATAGATCTACTGTTTATGTCTGACGTTATATAGATCTACTGTTTATGTCTGACGTTGTATAGATCTACTGTTTATGTCTGACGTTATATAGATCTACTGTTTATGTCTGTTGTATAGATCGTTATATTTGATCTACTGTTTATGTCTGACGTTATATAGATCTACTGTTTATGTCTAACGTTAAAATGGTCTACTGTTTATGTCTGACGTTATATAGATCTACTGTTTATGTCTGTCTGACGTTATATTGATCTACTGTTTATGTCTGTCTGACGTTATATAGATCTACTGTTTATGTCTGACGTTATATTGATCTACTGTTTATGTCTGACGTTATATTGATCTACTGTTTATGTCTGACGTTATATAGATCTACTGTTTATGTCTGACGTTATATTGATCTACTGTTTATGTCTGACGTTATATAGATCTACTGTTTATGTCTGACGTTATATTGATCTACTGTTTATGTCTGACGTTATATAGATCTACTGTTTATGTCTGACGTTATATTGATCTACTGTTTATGTCTGACGTTATATAGATCTACTGTTTATGTCTGACGTTATATAGATCTACTGTTTATGTCTGACGTTATATAGATCTACTGTTTATGTCTGACTTTATATAGATCTACTGTTTATGTCTGACGTTATATAGATCTACTGTTTATGTCTATATAGATCTACTGTTTATGTCTGACGTTATATAGATCTACTGTTTATGTCTGACGTTATATAGATCTACTGTTTATGTCTGACGTTATATTGATCTACTGTTTATGTCTGACGTTATATAGATCTACTCTTTATGTCTACTGTTTACGTCTGACGTTATATTGATCTACTGTTTATGTCTGACGGTATATTGATCTACTGTATCTGTCTGACATATTATATAGATCTACTGTTTATGTCTGAAGTTGTATAGATCTACTGTTTATGTCTGACGTTATATTGATCTACTGTTTATATCTGACGTTACATTGATGTACTGTTTATGTCTGACGTGATATAGGTCTATTATTTCTGTCTGAAGTTGTATAGATCTACTGTTTATGACTGTCTGACGTTATATAGATCTACTGTTTATGTCTGACGTTATATAGATCTACTGTTTATGTCTGACGTTATATAGATCTACTGTTTATGTCTGACGTTATATTGATCTACTGTTTATATCTGACGTTACATTGATGTACTGTTTATGTCTGACGTTATATAGATCTACTGTTTATGTCTGACGTTATATTGATCTACTGTTTATGTCTGTCTGACGTTATATTGAATTTGTTGTGTGTGGTAAATATCGACACAGACACATATATTATATACACATGTTCTGACGCCTGTACCTGGAAATGCAGTTCAGCAACACATTATTATTTTTCTTGCTTTTAATGGGTTTTTTTTAAAGCAAACCTTTCAATAAATTATTAAGATATTTTTCAGGACGACAATAGAAAGTGTTCGTAATCAAATTAAACACAGGCATGGTTTCATAACCAGTCTGTCTTCATTTTTCATAAGTAAAAATCCAAACTTCAACCACTATTAGAGAACTCAATTCTTAGAAAGACCTGCTATTAAATAAAGTTCACAATAAACAAACCTGATCGTGATACACAACCTCCAAGTTATATGTATCGAAAACTACCACTTCCCAACTTCCGATATGTTGTTAGGAGTATGTTTTTCCCCGAGTAAGTACATTGTTTTATCAACTATTCATAAGAAACGTGCGTAATGGAATGTGAAAATACAATGCATTGTTTACTATTTCACACTCGACAATAGGACGTTTTATTTACGATATTCCTGCTGTAATATCTCACTCACCGAGATACTTTGCTGTGCTGGAATCCTTTCTAACGAGCAAAACTGACATTTCTTCATTCAATTTCGACGTTCATTAAAAACGGCGATATATGCTACGGTTAATTATATACGTATTTATTCACGCGTTTCAACTTCTCGTCTGCTTCTTTTCTTGACCCCATTCCTGATGTGTGCACATATCTTCTCTCTCCTCTCTTCATCAGGAAGAAAATTGCTTAAAAGACGTGTTTATTATTGTTATGAAGTAGTTTAACTATTAAGATAATTTATTGTGTGTGTACCAGTGGTTAATCATTTTCACGTGATCTTTTTCTGTTCTGACGCTTAGCTGTTTTTCATTGCAGGTGGCAAACTTGTTCCCGCGCTTACAGTCAACTGTGGTGGCACTATACTGTGGCCTGTTCGACTCTTCTTCCGTCATACAACACATGATGAAGGTACAGACACTAAAACTCATTTTTGTACAAAAAACATAGGAAATGTGGCTGTAATTTGGTAGCAGATATTTTACAACGGTGGGTTAACGCTGATGTTCTTGTTGGTACCGCTCTCGTATGTGGTATAGGGCTTGCACTGCTATCGGTATGTTTTCTCTAGTCTGGTGTACTGTCCTGCCTAGAAAAACCAACCCAACCAAATACTACCCCTGTTGCCTTCCCTTTTCTCCTTAGTTGACATTTTTCTGTTTATTTTTTTTTAATTCTCTGTCTATTCGTCCGGGTGAAATTACATGTTAGGCTCCACGTTTTGACTCTACTGTATGTATGTTAGGCTCCACGTTTTGACTCTACTGTATGTATGTTAGGCTCCACGTTTTGACTCTACTGTATGTATGTTAGGCTACACGTTTTGACTCTACTGTATGTATGTTAGGCTCCACGTTTTGACTCTACTGTATGTATGTTAGGCTACACGTTTTGACTCTACTGTATGTATGTTAGGCTCCACGTTTTGACTCTACTGTATGTATGTTAGGCTCCACGTTTTGACTCTACTGTATGTATGTTAGGCTCCACGTTTTGACTCTACTGTATGTATGTTAGGCTCCACGTTTTGACTCTACTGTATGTATGTTAGGCTCCACGTTTTGACTCTACTGTATGTATGTTAGGCTCCACGTTTTGACTTTACTGTATCTAACTCTAAATCTATTTTTTGTCAATAATAATATGCTGTTCACTTGTGTGCCTTTTGTGCAATCGTTTGGGATTGCATGTGATGGATACTGCTGGTGGACTTTTAGTTCCTTCCCTAGGTTTTATCGTAACCTGCATGCCACATTTTAATTCATTCGAACAACAGCAGAACACATACATGCACTAGATGTTGTTCTAAAATCTGTATACGAAACATTGCGAATGAGGTATGGTCCGTTATCGTACTGGAGCCTCTGTTTCAGTTCATTGCCTGGCCAATCTAAAAAGATATAGAAGATGTACGTCCGGAAAGCGGGTTGTTTGCCGTTTGCCATAATCACGATATTACTATTAGAGCAGCTGGGATTTGTAAAACAATAAAAGACGAAACAAATCATTAATTTGATGGCCGGAAACTCCCTAATACGCGATCTTTTATTATCCTTCAAGATCTACCATATCTCTAATTCTTTCAAGAAGGATTCTATGTCACTAGCACTATGAACTATGGTATAGATATCTAGCACGTGCTCTGATGAAATTCATCGGCTGCATTCATGATCACCAAATATATAAGGTCGAAATTTTGGTCAGTAATTGCCGCAATGCATATGGAAATGATGAATTGACTTTAAGGACACTCGTGATTCGAATTCGTTTATTAAAAGTGTGAATTGAAATAAATGATAGTATCATGATATCAGAAGCCGAGATCGAACATGCAACCTCACAAACATTCGAATGATGTGGGCATAATATTTTACCGCCTGTACTGTAGACACAAAGATTTCAATCGTGAATTAAAAATTGAGAGCATAAGCACTCAGCATATTTTTTAAAGGATTCTGCTTCTGTTTGGTGTAAAGACTATCACTTTCTTTAGAAGATTCGAGTTGTGTGTATTGTGAAGACTGTCACTTTCTTTAAAGGTTTAGTATCAAAAGAGCAGTGATGTGTAATGTCTTTATCTTTTAAGTTGTGTAATAGCCTCCGTTGGTATGAATATGTCGGATGTTGGTTTGTTAGTAGTAAACCTGATGACCTCGTATAAAGTTCAGTAGGCCACTTCGTAGTACGTCAGTTATCAGTGAACTTAACTTGACACCCTAAAACAAGTGCATACACGGGCATTTTAAACAATATGTAGATAGGATCGATGACTTTTGTCATACCGCAGTTTCCGTCGTCCGCCAACTTTTCCCCAAGAAAACGCTACTAGTCATAAACGACTAAGCGGATTTTGACCAAATTTGGTCAGTAGCGTCTTTAGGGGATGGAAACAAAATCTGTATAAATGGTGGGTCACTTTTTCTTTTGTCTGTTTCGCACTAGCAACTTCACGGTACATGGTTCGTTTGACAAATCCAACGACTTGGTGCGTGTGAATGTTATTTTGCGTTCCTGGGGATATATCATGCGAAAATAATAAAATCTATAGTTGTTGAAGTTCTACTGTCCCGGCATAACTTTAGAAAAGTGTGCTGTGCCGGCGCATGCTCTACGAACATCATTATAGAGATGTCACCACCCTTTGGATCCACTTTTTCTTAGTGAAAATACCATGCATAAAGTTACAAAAAAATTTAAAAAGTTGTCATTGTGCTTACATTTAGCCGGTATCAACAATGCTGGCAGAAAACGTCGAACACTAAAGCTTAAGTGTGATTTGTTTGTATCAACGTGTACATGAAATCCTGTCACTTTCTCGTGTGGCTCCTGTTGACCAAATATTTCCTTTATTTAAACATATCGTTCTCTTCCTCCTTTTTTTGCACTAAAGTCAGTACACTACTCAACTGTGCTGGGGATATTACATTTTGATGGTATTTATATTTGAATCAAATATATAATGTCTATTTGTTGAACAAAGGAACTATTATGCCATGATTTTTAAACTGTGACTAGATTGAGTACTAAGTAAAGAGAGATATCTGCGCGTGAATTATTCTCATTAGCGCTAATAACCACCATGTATTATTGAAGAGAAAAAAGATGCCTCGATAGCTGTGATCGCTATCGTAATGTGTGCAGTCAAGTGTGAACTTCAGTGATTTTTGGACTCATCTTTTTCATTCTTTGACTCATGCTTTTCCTGTGGGACTTGCTCAAATTTTAAAGACTTATGATATCTCTTTGTGAAAACTTATCATATCTCTTTGTAACTAAACTTGTCAAAATTTTGGAAATTGCGCTGTGGACTCAGCAGAAAATTACTGTACAGACCACTTTCGTTCAGAATATCACGAGACCAACTGGCGGCGAGGATTAAACATGGATAATTATTATTCCATTGAAGTGTCACATATCGGTCTACATAAAACACTTTTAAAATTACACAAGTAAATGAGTTTAAATATCCAGTCAAATTGGATTACGAAAACATACAAAGCATCAATTTACATAAAATGCTTTAAAGTCACCAACATATCAAAATCATTCATCTATACAAGTCGCATAAATTACCATATTTGAAGATTTTTGTAGTCAATATATTGCGTTTCACTAAATGTATAATTTTCGACGCGTATATGCGTCGGAGTTAAATTGACTTACAAGTGATTGGAGTTCAGCATTTGCAGCAGTGTATTACTTAGTGTCACAGTCCTGCATTAAAAGACCTTCTATAACGACAGAGGGTTGTCCAAGTATTGAATATTTAATATCATTATAAAGTTTACACTCAATTCAAGAAGGTTTTTATCTTAAACTTTCCTCAAGTCACACTGAGCAAATAGTCTGTCTTTTTTATAGAATAGGAGGTCTAAAGTATTTCCGATTTTATAAAAACTATAAACTTTATTTTTTTTACAACAATTGTGAAACAAGTTATTTCAACTTATACTATCACTCTTGTTGGCCCGGATGTAAGCGCACGAGGGGTCTTAATGTGGGAGGAAACCGGAGTACCCGGGGAAAACCCACGTGGTCGGGCAGGTGACCCTTACCTTTTCACGTCTGTTCCAGGATTCGAACCCCGTACGGCTAGGTGAAAGGCAAGTGCGTTACCACTGCGCCACCCGACCATCCGGTTTTTGAAAACCCAGCTCAAATGGATCAGGTATCACCTGTAGGTTTGAGATATCTTGAGCTGTCTGTACGTGCCAATCTGTATTATTATTAAATATATCGCGTCGGAAAATTAATATTCTGCACCAGATTATCAGTGTCAATATTACTTGTTTTGTTGAGTGATGACAACAATCCCTTGCAATGTTTGAATGCCCATCCATCATTTTATTTTACACAAGAGCCTTAAGCACGCGACCTTTTGTTTGGTATAACACGAAGTTTCCTTAAATAGTGAGTTTAGATGCGAACTTTCCTACAGCTAGGGAAGCCTTTTTTGAACAGCGTTAGTCACAGAGTGGTTTTTGTGCCCCAAATGACACTTACCATACATGCGTACTGACTCCACAACCGTGTTATGTAGTTTGGTGAATACATCATACATCGTTCCTAAAGATACTAGTTTTCCATTTAGAGCTCCTGAAGCTGTATTTGCCGATTTGCTTGATATATAATGTTGGCTTATTGGTTTTCTACCATGGAATTTTTCCACTTTCTGCTATCCTCCGTGGGTTTTCTTCGTGGGTTTTCCACTGTGGGTTTTCCACCTTCTGCGTTCCTAAGTGAGTTTTCAACCTTCTGTTTTCCTCCATGGTTTTTCCACTTTCTACTTTCCTCCGTGGGTTTTCTTCGTGGGTTTTCCACTGTGGGTTTTCCCACTTTTTTCAACCTTCTGTTTTCCTCCGTGGTTTTTCCACTTTCTACTTTCCTCCGTGGGTTTTCCACCTTCTGCTTTTATCCGTGGGTTTTCCACTTTCTACTTTCCTCCATGGGTTGCCAACTGCTTTCCTCCGTGAGTTTTCTACCTCCTGTTTTCCTCCGTGGTGTTTCCACCAAAAGTTATGCAGATCTGGAGTCAACTGTTGAACTTGGAAACAAGTTATATTTAAAAGTTTTTCTTTATTACTTTTCGGGTAAATGATTTAGAATGATGAGTAGAGCTAAACGAGTTGCAGCGTCTTTCTTAATAAAGTTTGTAAAAATTATGAAATGGAATTGTAGCTTTTGACGGGCTGATAAATTTGCCCTTTAGTCACGTTTTCGAAAACTAAAGTGAAAAAAGCCGAGGAAGACGATTTAACGGAAGCTGGTCAATGTACATTTGAACTGAAAACCATCCGGAACTGCGACTCAGGGCTCCCCTCACCGACAAGGAATGGGACGATCCTATCAAGTGACAGGAGAACGCAAATACTGACGGAAAAACGCCAAGTGGAGTGTCTTCGAATGGCCTGAAAGTCATTCCAGAGTTACACCTGATGGACAAGGAAACAATAGACTATTGACTTCAGAGATTCATTGTTTAGGCGAGAATGAAATATGGACATGAATACCCCCAAAAGTCTGAACTTGATAGTGTTGTCTGAGAGACAAGAGAAATTATGATGAAAACTTCTTGGACAAAACAAACTACGATTTTGCTCGGTTTAGGAAGGTTATAGATGCTACGACGAAGCTTTTGGTCTACAAAGGTTTCGATTGCAGTGTTAAATAGGGTGTGTGGTCTGGAACCATTTTATCGCCGACCTCTTAATGAAATGTTGAAAACAACCTTCGTTTCGGCATACAAGTTGTAGGTGTAAACAAATTGAAAACTTGTATAAAATTTACATGTAGAAAAGCTAGTTTGAAAGGAAACTTTACTTTGCACAGCAGTAAACGAACATGCGAGTCATAGCTTTACGCAGCGGGAGTGGAAATCACGCACAGGACTGGTCATCACCCACAAACTAGACTCCGTCACATCTGCGAAGCTAGCCAAAACATCCATGAATGGAAATGGGCAAAAATTCTTAATCTTTCATGAAACCTGCCCTGATGCAGGAATGGATGTCTAGAGTTTCTGTTTTTCGTGGATGCAGTATAAATATCAAATATGAGAAATAGGGTATAAACTGGATAATGCGCGAGACACGGATTTCCTTACTTTTTTTTATAAATGAAATCAACCGCATGTTTATGTTTTATTGGAACTCTGCTGCATGCTTTCTATCTTTTTCGTCTTTATTTTTTGTATTTTAGACATTGCTTATGTCATCAAAATTTAGTTTTGATTTTTTTTCTAGTTATCTATTTGAAATTTTAGAAAGTCGGAGTCAAAAGCATTGCCCATGTTCCTCCTGTTTTTTGTGTTCGGAGCCAACAAGTGTGCTACAACTTTCAAATTTTCAGTTGTTGTACAGTTTGAATTTTGCTCTGGTAATCACAGTGTGAATCATGAAAAGTCAGCGGAACATTGGAAATCGTAGAAATGATTAGAAAAAAAATATTAAGAACCATGTTACAACGTTAATTAAAGGTCGGTGAACATGAGTCCTCCTAGGAACGAACAGTTTTGGAAATTTTATTTAATCCAAGGTTCTGAATAATATATTATTTTTTTAATTAAACATATTTTATTGAACAATTTCAATGGGATTGGGCACAAGTTTTTCAAGCCCCGTCACCATAAAGTTGGCCAAAATACATAATGACAAGACAAAACGACATGTCTAAATACGAAATTACAGAGAGAGGGGGAGAGAGGGGGGAGGGAGAGAGAGAGAGGGGGGGAGGGAGAGTGAGAGAGAGAGAGAGAGAGGGGGGGAGAGTGAAAGAGAGAGAGAGAGGGAGAGGGAGTGAGAGAGAGAGAGAGAGAGAGAGAGAGAGAGAGAGAGAGAGAGAGAGAGAGAGAGAGAGAGGGGGAGTGAGAGAGAGAGGGGGGAGGGAGAGTGAGAGAGAGAGAGAGAGAGAGGGGGGAGAGTGAAAGAGAGAGAGAGAGGGGGGGAGAGAGAGAGAGGAGAGAGAGAGAGAGAGAGCGGAGAGAGGGAGAGAGAGAGAGAGAGAGAAGGAGAGAGAGAGGGAGAGTGAGAGAGAGAGAGAGAGAGAGAGAGAGAGAGAGAGAGAGAGAGAGAGAGAGAGAGAGAGAGAGAGAGAGAGATATACAATTTACACAATAATGTATTATAAAAGTATGTCATTTATTATACCTTGTTTCTCTGTTTGATAGATCGCCTATGAGAATGGCGTGTCCCGTCGGATATTTTACATTTGCCTGGCTGGTTTCGCCCTCGTCATGCTGAGTATCAGTACTATCCTCTTCTTGCCAAAGTCATACATCACCAAGCAGAAGATTCGCCGGAAGTCGTGCGAACTGGAGATCAAGAGCGGCAGACTATTGCCTGAGTTGAAAGGCAAGTTGTACATAGTAATTAATTATCATCAAACAAAACGATGTGTGTTAACGTCACGATATTCGTAATGTAAGCCTTGCCCTAATATGATACTATATTTGAATATTTTTTTTAGAATAGAACCATCTCGACTGATTTTGATTAACAGTATAAGAATCTACTGTTGAAAGCTACTTACGCTTTTTTCCGGATAAATGACCTTTGCTGGTTCTTTTGTTACAGTGTTTGTCATGCATTGTTGTTAGCGTTGATTGAGCAATCTGCCAATGGCTCATTGTTAATGAAGAAAAGCCTTAATGGGACTACATAGTTAGATTTTCAGTTCGTAAATAGTAAAACATTATAATATCTAAATAACTTTTAAAAGCTGTGTTAGTTATTATATTTAAAATTTTGCATAACTTTTGAATTTAAAATGTCAAAAACGTAAATTAGATATGAACGACCACACACTTATTCATATCATTCTGGTTCGGAGAGTGTAAATAATGTCTTTGCGCATGCAAATTTAGAAATCCTAACAAAGTGGCGGATTAAAACGATGTTCCGAAAGGTCACGTGATGAATCGGCTATTTCCGATGAAAACAGCGAATGGCGGTAGACACAACAGCGAGGTTTGACCAGTATTAATTTGAAGCTAATAATCTTTATCAATTTTTCTCGAAAAGTGCTATAATTTTGTGAATTGTCTAATGCTAAGTATCATAACGCTTGCAGGAAATCAAATGGATGGGAAAAAGTTTTTTAAAAATTTAACCACTCTGTCTCTTTAACCTCACGTCTACCGCATTTTATCATTTTGATTTTACGTTATGAACTGGATACCACGTATATAACCAAGATACACTGCATGCTAACTTGAGTAAATCGAAGTGAAGTTGAGTCGGGATATATCACCAGTATATTTTGTAGGTGTATGGAAATCTACCAATCTAAATTGTGGTTCATGTGATATCAGGCAAACTATAGCGTTATATATTTAACAAAATTAACTCATTATAACCGGTGTTAGTAATACGAAGACCTTGTAACTGACAAGCATTTATTTGTTTTGATTCTTACCAATAATGTATCTCTGTAACGGGTTAAATAAATATTTTTTTCTGCGATCATCTACTCCTCTGGTGTCAGTTTCGCAATTTTAAATATATTTACTTTCCAAAAATCAACATGTTATCAAGTAACGCCTGCAATTTTTTTCCTGCTGTTGATGAACTTGAGGAAGTTTTTTGTTGTTTTTTTTTTGTTTGTTTGTTCCGGGAGTCTCCATATAAATAAAAAATCCTAATTTCTTTAAAATCTTTCTTCTTCTGTAGGGAATGATAGGATTCTGTCTTGGTCTAAAACATTCTTGGATAAAAGAGATGTTTTTTGTAAATAGTTTTTCTGCCTCCACTCGGTGCAGTGGGATGGAGATCGAAAGGGAAACAGATATAGAGCTTGAGCGACATAAGTGCCATGGGTCTATTGTTAAAAAACCACCTGTTGGTGAAGTGTAGCTACATGTAAACTCAACCTATTATCAGTTTAGATAATTTTTTATTATATGAGTTTTTTGTATTTTTCTTATGCTGTATATATTAGAATTTTGTAACTGTTCCAATTTCCAAGTGGTATTTGTGGATAAAACGTGCAGGTCGCTTTAATAATTGTAGATTGGCTGTGCTATTTGAATTACATTATGTATGATAAACTGATAAAAATCAATAGCATTGTTTACATTATATATAGTAAACTGATCAATATCTTTCTCTGTCGTGTTGAAGATAGTAGGATACACGAAGTTATATCTATCATGAAACACATAGAGATTCATTAATTAAGTTTGACGGATACTTGACTGTTTCAGGCCTGAAGGATCAGAGGGAAACGGATGAGACATCTTTACGCACGTGCATATGGTCAGTTACGTACTTGATGCACGTGGCTTGGATGAGCATTAACACTGTGACGTTCGTCACTTTCATAGGTCTGATCAACGTGAATCTCGAACAGTTGTCTGACAAGAAACAAGTTGGTTAGTAAAACTCATTATTTTGTCTTTGAATTATTTATCTTCTTCAAAGTAATATTTTGGATTTAAAAAAAAATTACAACCATTACATGTTTGTAACAGCACCGCAAGTTTAATACATTTCTAATTAAGGATCTAGATATTTGGAATCAAAGTTTCTTAAAGAAATTTTATAAATGAAAAAAAATCTAACTTCTTAACGTTTTTGTGGACATCCGTGCTTATTTATGACATAAAAACAAGATGGTGCAGATGAAAAACTTTATTTTAAATAATAAAGAATATGAGTAAAATGACTGAATAGAATCCATACAATATCCAGAGATGTTGGGATATATTGTGTATGTACATTACTGCTTGTTCGGTCCTTTGTGGTATTCTAGACTAGTGAAGCAATATCCCTAAAGAAAAGTCAGTTTTGCACAAAGTATGATTTGATCCTTAAGTAAGTTAGTACCGGGGTGTGTCTGTCGGTTATAAAAAAAATAACTTTATTCTAACGTTAGTGAACACCTGGGAGTGTCTGTCGGTTATAAAAAAAAATAACTTTATTCTAACGTTAGTAAGTACCGGGATGTGTCTGTTGGTTATAAAGAAATTGTTTTTTTTTCTACAGTAAGTAAGTACTTAGGGGTATTCGCCTACACGACCATGTGCACGGTAGTTGCAGGAATATTGGCAGGAATGAGTTACGACTGTCAACGTAAACGATATTACGGTAAGTCGTACAAAGCGATTTTACATCATATTAACAATATATAACAGATTGACTGTCAGTCCCCGAGATATTAACAATATATAACAGGTCGGCTGTCAGTCCCCGAGATATTAACAATACATAACAGGTCGGCTGTCAGTCCCCGAGATATTAACAATATATAACAGGTCGGCTGTCAGTCCCCGAGATATTAACAATATATAACAGGTCGGCTGTCAGTCCCCGAGATATTAACAATATATAACTGGTCGGCTGTCAGTCCCCGAGATATTAACAATACATAACAGGTCGGCTGTCAGTCCCCGAGATATTTACAATATATAACTGGTCGGCTGTCAGTCCCCGAGATATTAACAATACATAACAGGTCGGCTGTCAGTCCCCGAGATATTAACAATATATAACAGGTCGGCTGTCAGTCCCCGAGATATTAACAATATATAACAGATTGACTGTCAGTCCCCGAGATATTAACAATATATAACTGGTCGGCTGTCAGTCCCCGAGATATTAACAATATATAACAGGTCGGCTGTCAGTCCCCGAGATATTAACAATACATAACAGGTCGGCTGTCAGTCCTCGAGATATTTACAATATATAACTGGTCGGCTGTCAGTCCCCGAGATATTAACAATATATAACAGGTCGGCTGTCAGTCCAAGAGATATTAACAACATATAACAGGTCGGCTGTCAGTCCCAAGATATTAACAGTTTATAACAGGTCGGCTGTCAGTCCCCCGAGATATTAACAATATATAACAGGTCGATTGTCAGTCCCCGAGATATTAACAATATATAACAGGTCGGCTGTCAGTCCCCGAGCTATTAACAATATATAACAGGTCGACTGTTAATCACCGAGATGTTAACAATATATAACAGGTCGGCTGTCAGTCCCGAGATATTAACAATATATAACAGGTCGGCTGTCAGTCCCGAGATATTAACACTATATAACAGGTCGACTGTCAGTCCCCGAGATATTAACAATATTTAACAGGTTGAATATCAGTCCCCGAGATATTAACAGGTTGACTATCAGTCCCCGAGATATTAACAGGTCGACTGTCAGTCCCCGAGATATTAACAATATATAACAGGTTGACTATCAGTCCCCGAGATATTAACAGGTCGACTATCAGTCCCCGAGATATTAACAGGTCGACTGTCAGTCCCCGAGATATTAACAGGTCGACTGTCAGTCACCGAGATACTTACAATTAAAAAACTGGTCGACTATCTATCACGAGAGGTAAAAACGCTGATTGAAGACAGCCGTTCATTTCGTTTGATATTTTTAGTTTAAACAATATTTTTATTCAGTAATAAGCATTTAATTACAGACAGGTACGCATAATCTTATGGGATGGGAAAACAAGCTTAAAGCTTATATTAATTCCTTTCCCATGTACATACAAAGACAAATATAAATCGGAAATGGAACACCTAACATCGACATTGGATGAAAAAGTAATATTTGGACATAACAATAAAACATATTAACTTACGTATACGCACATGTGGTGGATAGAATTACAAAATGTAATTTACAACTTAAGTAGTGGCGCCTTAATTTATTGGTATGTAAAAAAGGTTACCTTTCAAAGCTCCATTCAGATCTATGAAACAATACATAATGTACAGTTTTATAATAAGAATTAAAGGACAAAAAATATTAGGTAAAACGTTTACTAAGCTTGATATAATTTTGCACGGTCAAGAATATTTGTTCATTTTTCTGTTTAGAGTAAGTGTCGTTTCCCCATAATAGAGTTTTTTCAGTTAGAGTAATATCTAGTTGAAGTAAAGTATTTTGTCGAATTATGTTATAATTAGCACAAGACAATAAAAAATGGTGGGTACTTTCTACTAACCCGCATGAACAAAATGGACTTTCTTCCAGATTTCTTAAGTATAAATGTTGTTTGAGATTACTGCATTTAAGTCTCAATCGTGTATGTAAAATTTGAAGGTTTCTACTTCCAATATTAAAATAGTGTGGAATCATTACATTTTCTTTTTGTAAAAATCTTTTGATAATCCTGACAGACGGATTTTCGCGAATGTCGATTGGTAAAGAATTCCATAAATGTACTGAAGAATTTAAAAAAGATGTTTTATAAAACTGAGTCCTGCAATTAATTAATAGTAAATTGTTTGAATTTCTAGTATTATGTCTGTGGGTATCTGATACCTTACTTGGAATTAGACTGGATAGATAAAATGGAGTTTTCTTATGATACATTTTATGAAACTGCAAGAGTTTATGATTTTCCCGTCTTTTAGAAAGTTTTTCCCAACCCACATCTTTATACAATAAACTAACACTTGACAATTTAGTAGCACCTGTAACTATTCTTGCAGCTTCTATTTGGATGTTTTCTAAATTTTGACATAAATAATTGGGTAAATTATCCCAAACTACGTCAGAATATTCCAAAATAGGTCTGATAAAAGCAAAATATATTGTTTGGAGAGAATTCCTATCAAGTATGTTTTTTAAATTTCTTAAAACCGCTAGTCTTGGTGACACTTTCTTTAATATGTAATCAGTATGATTTTTCCATGTACCATCATCAGAAAATAACACCCCTAAATGCTTATGAGATTTTACATTAGTTACATTGACATTGTCCATAGTGATAGGATCATAAATTCCTGGTATAGTTTTTCGGCTAATTAATAAAGATTCTGTCTTGTCTGGATTAAATTTTACTAACCACTTATTTGCCCATACATGTATTTTTGAAAGATCATTATTGATGGTATTAATAGCAATCGTGGGATTTTCAACTATGATATACAAGGCTGTGTCATCAGCAAATAACTTTATTTTACAACTAATATCATTCACTATATCATTAATATATACTAAAAAGAAGAGAGGACCTAATATTGAACCTTGAGGTACACCTGCTTTGATATTTTGGGTTTCAGAGAAAATACCATTTATAACAACCCTTTGACTTCTGTCAGTTAAATAATTTTTGCACCAAGATAGCAATTTACCAGAAACGCCAGATTTTTCCAATTTATGTATAAGACCCCTGTGCCAAACCCTATCAAACGCTTTACTTATATCACAGAATACGGCAATGATTTCTTTACCCGCGTCTAAAGCCCTCCCAATATCATTTGTAATGTCTAATAATTGATTTGTTGCAGAATCCCCAGGTGTGAAGCCCGATTGACAATTTGTAAAATAATTTGTATCTCTAAAAAAATTGTAAAGATGTTTAAAAATACACCTTTCCATTAGTTTGCCAACGATACTTATCAAAGATATAGGTCTATAGTTTGAAACAACGGATTTGTCACCTTTTTTAAAAACTGGTGTAACATTAGCGACTTTCCATATAGAAGGATATATACCACAGTCGATAGATTTGTTAAACAATTTAGAAAGAATTGAAATAATAGACCCTGTCTTTGCTTCCTTAATAATTCTTGGACTCATTTTATCTGGACCAGAAGCTTTAGAAGTATCTAACTTATTTATTGCATCTTCAACATCTTGTTCAGTGATATCAATATTTTCAAGTGTATTATTAGTAGCTACATTATTTGGTAGTGTTACATTAGAGTCGTCGATAGTAGACTGGCTAATAAAGTAATTGTTAAAAAGATCTGCTTTTTGTTTACTATCACCATAATATATATCATTTTGCATTAACGTTGGTATATGAGAAGTTTTGGTTGAAAAATTTGTAAAATTGTTAATCAACTTCCACTAGTCACGTGTTGATGTAGACATACATTTTATCTTACCGGTTAACTTTAAAACATATTCATTTTTTGCTTTCCTTATAGCGTCAATACATTTATTTCTTGCCTGTCTAAATTTCTGCCAGTGATACGGATTTTGGGTACCTTTAGCTTTTCGGTGTAATCGTTTTCGATCCCTTATTAATTTTCTTACATCATTATGCATCCATAGTGGTTCATTATGCCTTATTGTTACTGTTTTATTAGGAATACATATTTTAGCAGCATCTAATATTGTGGAATTAAAAAAAATGGCAAATTCGTCAATTGATAAATTTTCAAATGGACTAATCCAGTCGATATTATTCAATCTATCCCGAAACATTTTGTAGTCACCGTTTTTATATAACCATATATGCCTTTGAATACTTGATTTCAAACTGTTACGACTAACATCTAAAAATGTATAAATAGGGCAGTGATATCTAGTCTCAGCAGGTAAAAAAGATTCTCCAACAACAACTTCCTTAATAACGCCTATATTATTTGTCATAAATATGTCTAAAAGAGAGGATGAATTTTCTGTGAAATGAGTAGGTTCATCAACAAGTTGAATAAAATTATATCGATACATTAAATCAATAACACGATTAGGGTTTGTAGCTAATTGGTTTTCATTAAAATCACCTGTTATCAATATACTATCAAATTCATAATTGGCAACCATATCAATAGAATGATCAATTAAATTCCAAATTTCATTCCCGGAGTTCGGAGGTCTATAAAAGGTTCCTAGCATAATAATTTTATTGTTAAGCTGCAGTTCTATCCAAATGCATTCTAGATTATTAATTTCAAATTCCGAACGCCGGATCGCAGTAATATTTTTATTAACATACACGGCAATACCCCCACCGATTCTATCAGACCGAGATTTTACAAAAGGGTCATGAAATTTAGAAAGAAGAAGTTCGCCGGACTTTTCTGTTGTAGGTGATAACCAAGTTTCAGTAAAGGATAAGATATCATATTGATGTAGTTCACTAAAGATTAAGTCCACTTTAGGTAATAGGCTCTGAACGTTGTAGTGCACTAATGATAAATAATCTTGGTTAAGAATTGATAAATCTGAAAGGGATGAACTACCAGGACCCGGGTTACTTTCAATATCTCCACAACGTACGAGTAAATGTTGAAAATATATTAAATATACACTACCCATGCCAATCGACCAACTGTCAATAACACTTACAAAGTTCAAGTTGGGGTACGGTCCCCAAATATAGAGGGAGTAGTAAAGACAAAGGAGTAATACATAGCACACAATAATGTTCAAAACAGCATTTACATGTACATTATTAGAATATTCATTCGACTTATTTACATTACTTAAGTTTAAAGGTTTGTCTTTCATAAGCATATGAAGAAATACCATAATAGGCATCGCATTGATTTTATAAACCAAAAATAAATTGGTTGCTAAAATGATAATGAGGTCTAATTGTTTGCTCAAAGGTAACCGACTTGACCTCGCGTGATACAAACCAATAAGGACACGGTGCGAAAAACAATCAACGGGCATTATGTAATATGATATGCATAGTAGGGATATCTCCGTGTCCAAACATAGTCAGTTTGCAAAAGACGAGGTTTACGTGTTAAAAAATAGCGCCACTTCGTTACGATGTACATAGGATTTAGTCGTGTAATTACTTTACCAATATACTTAGCAAAATAGGTATCATAAGTCACCACATTGCAAAGACATAGAAAATAACAAAATTTTAAAATGGAAATGGAAAAACTGGTATAACCAGGAGAAATAATTTGATTTGGATGAGAAATTCTGGTGAATTTGGCCTGCTACTAGTATTTACACAACATACAACAATGTTTATATATTACAAACTCTATACTTAAATTGAAAACTTTATCATCTCATGCCCGGACAGAATCCACCATACTGTACACCATGCACAAACAAGTCCCACATAATACACTCTAACATCACACCCTTGTAATCTAGTTTGCGTGCACAATACATCTATGCGCAAATGATATATTTATATTTATACTGCCTACTTTCAAGATAAACATATGTAAAAAACCAACATGATCAGATTCAAACACAAATATTTACAGGTAAGTACGTGATCATTTTATGAACGTAATTTGTAGTCTATAGAACGTGTGAAAATGCACGTTCATTTAGATTTTCAACTGTTAATAAATCATGGTAAGTAATATTGGATAGTGGAACAAATTCAATGCCATCACTCAATACAAATGAACGTCATTTTATATGAACATGTGACGTCGTTTAAATTGGTGCAGATAAATACATATTACCATTTTTCATGAAAACAATTTGTAATGAATAGAACGTGTATAAATGCACGTTAATTAAGGCTTTTACTGTTAATAAAACGAGGTAAGCCATATTGGACAATTGACTGGAAAAATGCATGTACTTGTGTATAGACACAAAACTCAACTGTGATCGGTCCGTAATACAAATAAACGTCATTTATATGAACATGTGACGTCATTTAAGTATATGCAGGTATAAGTACATGTTACCATTGTTCATCGCAATAATATGTAATGAACGTTAATTATGACATTGCCTGTTATGTAGAACAAGGTAAGCAATATTAATTAATGAACATGTGACGTCATTTAAGTTTATGCAGGCATAGGTACATATTACCATTTTGGAAATAATTAGTAATGAATATAACGTGTACAAATGCACGTTGATTTAGACATTGGCTGTTAAATAAAACGAGGTAAGTAATATTGGACACTAAAAAAACACACAAATTCATTGAAATCCCTCAATATAAATGAAAGTCAATGAAAATAATTTGTAATGAAGAGAATGTGTACAAATGCACGTTAATTTGACTGTTAATAAAACGAGGTAAGTAATATTGGATAAGTAGTAATGACTGGAAAAATGCATGTACATGTGTATATACACAAACTCAGTTGTGGTCATTCACTATAAGTGAACGTCATTTTATATGAACACGTCACGTCGTTTGAGTTTATAGGTAAGTATATTACCAATTTTTCAAGAAAGTAATTTGTAAAAAATAAAAATTGTACAAATTCACGTTGAAACATTGATTGATAATAAACGATGAGATTAATATTGGACACTGGAAAAATACGCAAATTCTTTGCGATCACTCAAGATAAATAATCATCATAGGCCATGTGAACATGTGACGTCGGTAAGTTTACAGGTAAGTATATTATCGTTTCCTTCTTAAAAGGAATTGATAATGAATAAGTGTGAACATATTCGGACTGTTGGTATAAAGAATTGATCACATGTAGGATACTCAGAAATTGACTGACATTTGAACACCTTGTGACGGAGGTTATTCGGAGGTACTGAGGACGTGGCCAAACCTACACAAATCCTTCTCCTGGAAGATCTGATGATTTCGGTCCGAATTGTCTTTAACCATCACTTTACCGTCCCATGTTTGATATTTTTCTATCTAAATATATATATATATATATAAATAAACATTCCTTAGCATTCCTATATCAATCTCAGATAAAACGTCTCTTCATCATGTAGTCAGCAAATTAACTTTTTCAAATACGATATTTTCTCCAAAGACCAGATTAGAACAAACGAAAGTTTAACCCAGATATATGAAATAATATGACGCATATTTTAGACACACAAGTTGATGTGAGAAACTATCAGTATAAACACATGCTCTAACAATGATTTTGTCTTTTTTTATTTAGTGAAATACCCAAAGAAACACCTAATGTTTTGGACATTGAGTATTTTTTTTATTTACTTTCAGATTATCCGTCACCAGCCAGAGTTTGGCGTCCGGTCCTGTTACCAATGACAACCACGAGTATCCTAGGAACCCTGGTGTACGTGCTACTCCTGGTGGGGTCTCTCACCGTCATGGTGCCCATATTTGTCCTATTCACATTCTATCGTTCATTCCTCTACTCGATAGGAGTGGCCTTCGTCAATGACGCGTAAGTTGTGAGAGGTGTGAAATATGTAGATATTTAAGCATAGGTCAGGGCCCGTATGCATGACACTGTTCTCACGCTCAAGCAAGAATTTTGTGCACAAGCCTTATGCCTTGTTTAAGTTAAAACTTAATAAATAAGGCTGATTTTGATTATAAAAAAGGAAAGGACTTCAAGTCAAAGCTATATTCAATGTTTATATGTGACATTTGTTTTTTTATAAGATTTAGGTGAATTATAAGAAAAATTGCTTGAGCACAAAATCTATGCTTGAGCATGAGAATGGTTTCGTGAATACGGTCCCTGGTTTCAAGATTTCGCCAGTGGGTAACAGTATAGATATGCCAAATTCGTGTCCTGTGTTGTTGATTTCCGCCAGTGTTTATTCAGTCATGTAAATTCCATTTCTGTTGTAGGTTTCCAGAGCAACACTTCGGTGCCCTATATGGTATAATGACATTTTCTACTGGACTTTTCAGTATGCTTCAATATGGCTTCTTCTCCTGGTTCGACTCGTATCAGGACGCAAATATTCACGTATGTATTGTGTCATCAAGCAACATTTATTTAATACGTTTCATTTTCAAGACACGCCTGTAATAGTCTTTTCTTTATTGATCTGAAGCAATACAGCTTATGGCTTCTAATACATAAATATACAACATGTATCGTATACAATAGAGAGAGAGAGAGGGGGGAGAGATGGAGAGAAGGGGGATGAGAGAGAGAGAGAGGGGGGGGAGAGAGAGAGAGAGGGAGAGAGAGAGGGAGAGAGACAAACAAACATTGTTTCTATAATCATTGTTACATACAAAAACTTAGTGATTTTATTACAATAGACTAGATCGCAGTTTGAGAGCATGATGCAAATACTTTCCCAAGTCTTTTACATTAGGAGTTTTAAGTAAATCTACTAATTTGAAAACGGAAGGATTACTCTATAGTATAATTTAATATATTTACGACGCAAATTGTTATAAAAAGGACATTTAAGTACAAAATGGAACTCATCCTCAATGTCGGTATTACAAAGTTTGCAAGTGCGCTGTTCCACTGGAATATTTGAATAAAGTATTTCATTTTAAAGACTATAAAGAATAAAGTGCGTTTACTTGATTAGTTGAAGGCTGTTACTGGTTTATTTCCTAATACTTTCCGAATATGATTAGGAAATTTACATTATGTAAACTTCCAGGTGTTTCCTCTGGGAGGTTGTAAAAACATATTTACACACGTTGAATAGTTGTAAAACCGTCAGTGTGTTAAACATAGAAAACAGAAAAGTAACGCCTCGAGTGTTGTGATATAAATGATAACAAACCAAGCTTAAACAAAGACACGTGTGGACCGACAAGACGAGTCGATTCGGCCGGGGAACGAATATTGTATGTAAATGATATGTTGAACATCTCGATAGAGGCCCTCGCAGCACTTTATGTGATAAATTTTATTTGGTATGTGTATTTTTTTTTAGTAATATTTCAAAATTTATTATAATAATTCCTATGAAATATCACGATATTTTACGAAGATAAGTCGATAATCAGGATGACAATTTCCTGTCGTTTGATCTGCTCCTGTCTGATTATACCCTGTTGCCAAGCAACAGTTTTGCTGTTGTTGTTGTTTGCAGAGGTAGTCAGCTCTCGATTCGCGCGAAAATGACAAGTTACTGGAACAACCTGATTATCAATTTGTGTGGGTAATAGGCCATGGTGTTCCGGGGGTATGATGACATTTGTAAAACATCTTTGAAAATGCGTATTTCTACACGAAACTTACTTGGGTAGTAGGGTGGCGCAGTGACAACGCACCTAACCGTGCGGGGTTCGATTCCCAGAACGGACATGAAAAAGTATGGGGTTTTCCCGGAACTCCAGTTTCCTCCCACAGTATCATCCCCTTCGCGCTTCTATCCCGGCCAACAAGAAACATTTATAAAAACTGATAGATTGTTTCTCAACTGTTGTAGAATAAATCAAGTTTATATTTCATGGACTTAACACCAACAAGCCGAAAAGGACATTTATGTTAAAATACTCTTTCAGCGTGTACCTATCATCAAATAACAATAAAAAGATAATGAATTATATAATTATTGATAAATAGCTCTGTTTATAGTAGCATGTCGTCTTATATACAATTATAATACAATTTAACCATTTTACATAACAAATGTTATTTGTTATAGTGATGTACTGGGAAAACGGCCATGCATCATGATTTGTATTTTCGCTGTGATAAGTCTTTGTTTTGTCGTTACAGGTGACGATTTTCTTACTTTTTCTGTGTGTATCGACGTTTATACACCCTGTACAGTTAGGGATACGAAGTCGTCAAACGGACAACACAGATCACTCGAATATAGAGCAGACCTTCCTGCCGCCGGACACTCTGGAATCTGACAGGAAACTATAATAATAAGTGGTGTCGCAAACATGTATCGATATAACCAGTGTATGAATGTGTATTATAAAAAAAAACAGTAATACAACACACAACATGAAAGCATTACTTAAAATAGCGACACTTGACGTAGCCTTGACGCTTGGCTGGGAATGGCACCTGTGTGACGACATCTTGGCTGGGAATGGCACCTGTGTGACGACATCTTGGTTGGGGATGACACCTGACTGTCTGACAACACTATGCTGGGGACGATACCTGATTGCCTGACAACACTTGACTGGGGACTACACCTGATTGCCTGACAACACTTGACTGGGGACAACACCTGATTGCCTGACAACACTTGACTGGGGACAACACCTGATTGCCTGACAACACTTGACTGGGGACAACACCTGATTGTCTGACAACACTTGACTGGGGACAACACCTGATTGTCTGACAACACTTGACTGGGGACAACACCTGATTGCCTGACAACACTTGACTGGGGACAACACCTGATTGCCTGACAACACTTGACTGGGGACAACACCTGATTGTCTGACAACACTTGACTGGGGACAACACCTGATTGTCTGACAACACTTGACTGGGGACAACACCTGATTGACTAACAACACTTAGGTGGGGACAACACCTGATTGTCTGACAACACTTGACTGGGGACAACACCTGATTGTCTGACAACACTTGACTGGGGACAACACCTGATTGACTAACAACACTTAGGTGGGGACGACACCTGAATATATTACGACATATTGCTGAGTAACGACACCTGGCTGTGTGATGGCATATTGACAACTGGAGTGACGTCACCTAAGTTGAGTGACGACGCCTGACTGTGTGATGACACCTGGTGAGTGACGACACCTGACTGCGTGACAACACCAGGATCAGTGACGACTCTTCGCTGAGTGAAGATGCCTGGTTTAGTGACGACATCTGGTTGAGTGACGTCACCTGTTTGAGTGATGACACCTGGATTAGTAACGACACCTGGATTAGTGACGACACTTGGCTGAGTGAAGATTCCCGGTTTAGCGACGACATCTGGTTGAGTGACGTCACCTGGTTGAGTGACGACAACAGACTGCGTGACGACACCTGGATCAGTGACGGCACTTGGCTGAGTGAAGATGCCTGGTTTAGTAATGACACCTGAGTGACGACACCTGAGTGGGTGACGACAACTTGTTTGCTGACTGAGTAATCATTAAATTCCGTCCCGATTAACCCCCAAGAAAAAAACAGATACACCAGCTTATGTTTATACTCTAATTTGCTCAAACTGAATGCAAAATTATGTGTAACCTGTGTGTTATGAACGTGTCTGTAAACATTTATGTTAAGTCTGATTAAGTTTGAGATGGAAATATTTAGAGAATGATATAGAGTACAGACCACCGCCACCACCCCCTACCCCCACCCCCCAGCCCCCAACCCCCACCCCCCAACCCCCACCCCCAACCCCCAACCCTCACCACGAAATTAAGAAAACAGTATCAACTTACTTCATTTAAATGGCACATGGCATATAATTTCGCTGCTCAGGGACTTTGATTCAATTTTCCTGATGTGTTTCAATATATAGCATCATTTATGTTTGTGTGTCACTCTCTATAAGCTTTCTTACTCGGGACGAAGTTAACAGGCACTACAAGTTCACGTAATGTAACTTTCTTTGCTTGTCTCCACACTTCCTGTTACATTTCTTCGCTTGTCTCCACAATTCCTGTAACTTTGGTTCGCTTGTCTCCACACTTCTTGTAACTTTGGTTCGCTTGTCTCCACACTTCCTGTTAATTTTCGTCATTTCAGTTCAGATAGGCTAAAGGTATTCATACGCATCAGTTTCGTTGTAAATATGTTTGGAGAACGGTCGGATGATGATGATGATGATGATGATGATGATGATGATGATGATGATGATGATGATGATGAAGGTTTCTCGTCTCCGTGACTCTGCCCGTCGCCGGGCATTGTCGATTCTCTGGCGATGTGCAGAGTTATCGGACTTACTTTAGTGTATATGTACACGATTAAGCTCAATACCGATCACTTCCGAGGAACTGCCATTAAGTCATCTGTAACGGTTCAGTCTTGATTTGTGTATCTTTTCAATGTCAGTTGGTTGAAAGTTTTAACCGGACCGTAAATTTCAGCTAGTATGACTTGGAGATTTAATCTATTTCTGTCCGCCATTTTTTGTGAGGTTTTCTTTGAGTTTACAAATACCAAAGTAAAACAGTTTCACATATGCTATTATTTTATCTCTGGTACTGAACATTGTGCAATTTGCTTTGGAAATTATGGCCTGATGATGGACATGTATGTAGATAACTAATAGATTGGACCATAAAATATAATGTGATATGTTGTGATAACGTTTAATTTTCTCAAACTGTTTAGGTTACCGATCTGCTAAAAAATGTGTCAGTTTTAGCTATCTGTTTCTGATTTTTGTTATCGAATTAGGCTAAAATGTAGTAGAGACACTGTCAGTATCATCAGTACACAAAATAGACTGAGATGTGGTAGACGCTGTCTGTGTCATCATTATGTAAATGAGACTGAGATGTGGTAGACGCTGTCTGTGTCATCATTATGTAAATGAGACTACGATGTGGTAGACGCTGTCTGTGTCATGATTATGTACCATAGAATCTAACACACGGGGTAATATATACTTATACCATAGAGTCTAACACACGGGGTAATATATACATGTACCATAGAGTCTAACACACGGGGTAATATATACATGTACCATAGAGTCTAACACACGGGGGTAATATATACATGTACCATAGAGTCTAACACACGGGGGTAATATATACATTTACCATAGAGTCTAACACACGGGGGTAATATATACATGTATCATAGAGTCTAACACACGGGGTTAATATATACATGTACCATAGAGTCTAACACGGGGGTAATGTACCATAGAGTCTAACACACGGGGGTAATATATACATGTACCATAGAGTCTAACACTCGGGGTAATATATACATGTACCATAGAGTCTAACACACGGGGTAATATATACATGTACCATAGAGTCTAACACACGGGGGTAATATATACATGTACCATAGAGTCTAACACACGGGGGTAATATATACATGTACCATAGAGTCTAACACACGGGGTAATATATACATGTACCATAGAGTCTAACACACGGGGGTAATATATACATTTACCATAGAGTCTAACACACGGGGGTAGATATACATGTATCATAACACACACGGGGTAATATATACATGTACCATAGAGTCTAACACACGGGGGTAATATATACATGTACCATAGAGTCTAACACACGGGGGTAATATATACATGTACCATAGAGTCTAACACGGGGGTAATGTACCATAGAGTCTAACACACGGGGGTAATATATACATGTACCATAGAGTCTAACACACGGGGTAATATATACATGTACCATAGAGTCTAACACGGGGGTAATGTAACATAGAGTCTAACACACGGGGGTAATATATACATGTACCATAGAGTCTAACACACGGGGTAATATATACATGTACCATAGAGTCTAACACACGGGGGTAATATATACATGTACCATAGAGTCTAACACACGGGGGTAATATATACATGTACCATAGAGTCTAACACACGGGGGTAATATATACATGTACCATAGAGTCTAACACACGGGGGTAATATATACATGTACCATAGAGTCTAACACACGGGGTAATATATACATGTACCATAGAGTCTAACACACGGGGGTAATATATACATGTACCATAGAGTCTAACACACGGGGTAATATATACATGTACCATAGAGTCTAACACACGGGGTAATATATACATGTACCATAGAGTCTAACACACGGGGTAATATATACATACCATAGAGTCTAACACACGGGGGTAATATATACATGTACCATAGAGTCTAACACACGGGGGTAATATATACATGTACCATAGAGTCTAACACACGGAGTTAATATATACATGTACCATAGAGTCTAACACACGGGGGTAATATATACATGTACCATAGAGTCTAACACACGGGGGTAATATATACATGTACCATAGAGTCTAACACACGGAGTTAATATATACATGTACCATAGAGTCTAACACACGGGGGTAATATATACATGTACCATAGAGTCTAACACACGGGGATAATATATACATGTACCATAGAGTCTAACACACGGAGTTAATATATACATGTACCATAGAGTCTAACACGCGGGGTAATATATACATGTACCATAGAGTCTAATACACGGAGTTAATATATACATGTACCATAGAGTCTAACACACGGGGGTAATATATACATGTACCATAGAGTCTAACACACGGGGTAATATATACATGTACCATAGAGTCTAACAATGATCCTAATAAATATGTTAAATTGTTGATAAAAGATTTCAGGATTTACCATGAAATAACATGACAAGAGCCAGATAGGTCTAGTATCGTCTAGTATCGCTTATTCTCTTGTTGGTTACCTTTTGTGAGGATTCCATGTTGTTTTTCCTGTTATTTTGGTATCCTTGTTTTTATCGACTTGAAGTCTGATTGATTGTTCAGTGTTAACGTAATGAGTACAACATTGTAGTTTAGGTCAAAACACACTCTTTTAATCACTGAGACTAGGTCTGGTAATGTGTATATGTTCACAACGTGATTCTATGTACAGCTGGAGTAAAAGTGTATTAATTGTTTAATGTTAAAATCTGTTGTTATATTGATTACTGAGACACAGAGATATATACCTATTGTTATAGTATATTACTGTGGTGTCCGTTTAGAGTGTGTGATTAGTACACTACAAAATATTGCTATGCATAATGATTTCGACACAGAGGTTTGTAAGACGTGTATTTTTTTAAAAAAAAAAAACTCCACCCCACTCCCATCCCCCTCCCCCCCAAAAAAATGGAATCGTTAAGAACGGTTTGACCGACATCTTGTCTAAATTGTTAATGAAGTTTGTGTTTGTGTTCTTATACTGGTCCATCAGTACTTACCGTGCACTGTGTCTTGGTGTCTTAATTAATACGCGTTGTGTCTTACTGAACTCGTGTCTTTATCACACTGATATCGTCTATCAGATTGACGGCCAGTTTCTAGTTGCTCAAAGCTGGGTTATAGTTAACAAGTGGAAAGTGAAAAAAAGTTTACTACTTGAAAAAAAAATTCAAAACAATATTAATTCCATAAAAATCAACCTGACCTGTCTCAATACATGTTCTAGTTTAAGAATATTCTCAATTTTAAAAATATTCCCGATTTTAAGAATATTCCCAATTTATTTTATTCATACTTAAAGGTTTAACTAACGACTTGTTGCCTCTAACCTAGCATTGATGTTTGTCAGAATTGTTATAGATTGGTATATGATGAATATGTTTGTACTTTTTGATTTTAAGAAAAGATCTATATACAAGCTGTTTCTTGTTATAAAGATAAATATATATATTTTACAACAGACTTTCGTCATTTTTTTAACATATACCAACCATACGGCAGACGCAAGAAAAGCTACGTCGTTGGTATTTTTTTTTAATTTGTTGATATACACTTTTAAATAAACTTTTCCAAGCAAATTCAGTCGTTTTGTTCCCTCTAACCATGGTTAGTGTTAAGCGTCTTACAATAAGACACGTAAACAGAGATTAGTGTTAATGTTTAGTTTGAATATTAAATATCCTTTTTTACGGGGTTTTGTGTAACGCCTCGACGAAAAGAGGTCAGTTTATCAATCCATGTAAAATGCTTAGACGGGTTGAGGCATCTAGAATTATGTATGTTTGAAAATGTTCTTTCCTATTCTGAAACCCTAAGGTACATAATTAGGTGGATAAACAAGATGATAACATTGTGAAAATAGAACTGTAGTTCCCGCCCGCAATGACAGAAAAAAAAATTGAAAAGGAGACAAGTCAAGTTTTCACTTTAGTGTTATTTCAAAATATGCCCGTGTGTATTTAGACTTAAATTACAAATGTGGTTGACAGAATATCATTTCACTTTCTCTTTTCTATTTATAACACAACTTACGGAAACAAAATTTAGAATATGTGAATACAATTTCGAACTGGCAGTTTGAAAAGTATACCCAGGTACATGTAACAAGGGTTGTGTAATAATGCCTTGTGATGGAAAAAGAAGAACATTTCGTCTTCCACTTTCCTCTAAACCAGAAGTAAATGCAATTTTATCACAAACACAAAAGACAAAAAAATTAAAATAACGGATGCAGATATTTAAGGTCCTAGATACTGAGGATCTTAAATGTATATAATTGTGCTTGTTCGGTTTCATCTAGCCGTCAAGGGTTCAATTCCAAGAACGGACGTGAAAAGGAAAGAGGTCACCTGTCAGACTACGTGTGTTTTTCCCGGGTACTCCAGTTTCGTCCCACAATTAGACGCCTCTCGCGCTTACATCCGGGCCAACCAGAGCGATTAGTATAAGTTGCTATAACTTGTTTCGCAATTGTTATAAAAATAATTAAAGTTTAAATATACTTGTTTGTTTTTTTCTGGATAGCTGATTTTAAAGGTTCGAGAGTTCGGGCGATATGTTCTGCTGAGATAGTGGTAAAGGAGAAAACTAGAGATCTGACTACTTTTCTTCTAGATATTTCTTTGGATTTAATATCCTGGTACACGCTAATGTTCTATAGTGTGTTTCTGAATTGTGTGTCAGTAATGAAATGTCTTTAGATATCATATTATGTTAAATGACCTTATTTTTTATAAAATGTTTTTCGTTAAATTTACTGGATTAAAAGTCTGTTTCCGTAAGATCCTCAAGCTCAGCGCTTTCGTTTAAACTTTTTCAAATTTTAATGAAATTTTCATTGTACTGTAGGTGAGAAAATTTGGCATTGTGTTTTCTTGTGAACGTTGTTAGGTCTGACACATTCAAATGGAGTCCGCGTTGTCGATAGGTAGGAACTGTTAAAACGTATGAAAATAATATCTTGAAATAATTTCTTAAAGCTGAAAGTTGATAAATAAATATAGAAGAGTCCAACTGTGGATTTGGTGGGTTGTGTTATCTTAACACATTTGGCCTAGTAACGACGCTGTAAGGAACTTAGTGTTATGTTGAACGGTAAAGTCACTGAATACCTGTCGGTAGGCTTACGGGCCTTGTATGGACGTTTCGGTATAATTTGTAACAGTGATGTAGCAACTATGGAATGTTTAAAGTGTAAATTCTGTCAGACTTCCAGCTACCGTCATTTACAATAAAGACAATGGGGTCGTAAATTCAAATACAACATAATTTTGGTGCAGATTGGACATTATGTCTGAAGTCATGAACAAGATAACGATTGATTCCCCAGTGTCTGCTCTTAACATCATTAGAACCAGACGGTATGTAAGGTCGTGCTCTCCGCAGGTGATGATAGTAACCCGAGGTTAACCTTATCAACTCTCTCTGTCTGGTGAATGTTATGTTGACAAATTGCCATGATATAAATAGTACAACATAATAGACATTATGGTCTTCCGAGGGTCTGTCTGGCATAGGCTGTAAACCAAAGTAGTTATTATCCGGACACAGATATTGGCCATACTTAACACGGTTACTGACCAAAACTCACCCGGTTCACAGGCCATTATTGAAAGATTACTTATCATAATTGGTAATGTTACCGATTATAATCGACAAGGTTACTGGTTATAATTAACATTGTTAACCGGATATTATTGTAATATCACTGACTGTAAATGACAAGGTTACAGATCATAATCGACACGGTTACTGGTCATGATCAACAAGGTTACTGTCATGATTAAAACGGTTACTGGTCATAATTTACATGGTTACTGGTCATGATAAACACAGTTACGGACATTATCAACAAGGTTACTGGTCATGATTAACACGGTTACTGATCATGATTAACAAGGTTACTGGTCATGATAAACACGGTTACTGGTCATGATTAACAAGGTTACTGGTCATGATAAACAAGGTTACTGGTCATGATTAACATGATTACCCGTCATGATTAGCACGGTTACTGGTCATGATTAACAAGGTTACTGATCATGATTAACACGGTTACTGGTCATGATTAACACGGTTACTGGTCATGATAAACACGGTTACTGGTCATGATTAACATGGTTACTGGTGATGATAAACACGGTTACTGGTCATGATTAACACGGTTAC